CTTTTCAAACGACGTCATTCGATTTAGGAATTGAATCTATGCCACTTATGAGCAGATACGTGCTTGAACCAAAACGACACGACACCTAGAATCAGCTTTCGAAAATGACCCTTCAGTGACACGCGGGAATCTGCAAACAGTGGACGAACTTCAATGAGCGAGATGCATAATTTGAAACAGCTCCCAACGCTCATGGCATCTCGCAACATACTACACAATCGATTCTTCTGCTTGTCAACGTATACTTTTATGACCGCCTCAGGTTTGAAAGTTAGTTCTAATTTTATACACATTGTTATTAATTTATATTATAAAAACATGACGGTTTCGAATCATATATCCACTTCCCCTCTTGTCAACCCCTAAAATATATGAAGTGGTTTGCCTGAGACTCTTCAGCACGACTTCTTCGTCAGGTTTCGATATTGCTCTTCGACCTCACAATCAGTGTGTGCAATGGATGAGGTTCTCACCTTCAGATTATTCGCTTGTTTGTACTAGAAATCTGAACGCTCTTCTAACTTCTCGCAGGCCATCACAATGAAGTTATGACACGATGGATCATCACTGACTCGTCGATAGCGCACAGTTTGCTTCTTGAAAGGTTCAGTGGCATAATCCGATCACTTCAGACCCAACAGAGCTTACAATCTGTTCCCTAATCTTATTTCTGAACATGGCATCGCAGAGGTAACTGATGGCGACCTGGAAAACTCCGACACCGTTTCTCGCCTTGAGGCCATTCTTCCATCGTTCGTCTTCGGTGAGCACAGCTGGAGAAAGGCCTTAATCTCTGCCACACTCTGAGCCACAGTTCAATATTCAAACTGTCAGAACTGTCGCCTGAAAACGTGGAGTAGAATTGGAATTTGATTTCACGTACACACATTTAAGGATCAGCTGTCCGCTTTACCTGAGGATGTCTGGGAGGACATTTTTGTTGTTGCTGATCAGATGACTAGTCCCACTGCCACAGACAGGATTTTAATTAGATTAAGGGCAACGTTAAGCATTTACAAAACATCGATCACTTCTTGTTATACCACACTGTCGTTCATGGTTCCAAATTAAACAAAACCGGCGATCATTCCTAGCAGCCTGAAGGAACTTGAGGTCGTAACAAATATTGAAAGCAACGACAGACAGAGTATAGTTGAAATATTAACACGTGAGTACCTCTCTTTTCATAGACCAAGTATTCGATGGAATTTCCAGCCACTTCTAACGCCAAGTAATGAATCGCGCTGATTTCTTTAGTTCCATAATTAGAATCGGTGGTTCCATCATAATTCAGTATTTGTTATTGTCCAGTACATCAATCTTGACCATTTGCTGCGCCACTAGTGTGATCTTGGGAAGACACAAATTATTGTCCTTTGTTTCCCAGGTGAGAATGGCTCTGACTTTGCAAGTCTTATCTGCAGGTTACCGTATGCTTCTGATATTTGTGGACGACGGAGGTATTCATTGTACGAACCATGGTCTGAAACCGAAACATTTCAAGGAAGGCAGTTTCAAGCATGTTCTATGCCATGAAAATGGGTCTTGTTCAAGCGATGTCGATCTGTTGGCCTGTCTTAGTATGATAAGCGAGCGGCATAGAGGTTATTTTAAACTTAAACAACTTTTCTCGATCCGCAATCACTCGGTTGTGCTGGGACTCTGAAAATCGCATTCCTCTTGATGTCTGGCTTATGTGCCATAGATTATAGGTGAAGCAGTCGATCTGATCACAATATTCGTTACGACTGCAAGGGATATTAGGCGTTTTTACCTAAGGTAAGCGTGATCTTGCTTTCCTTCAGATTTGAAGCCTTTGGTTTCCTCTGGTGCTTGTCCAGTTCATAATGCACTTGATGGGGTCTGATAGACCCATGTGATCAGAGAAAGTAAGATATTCAGGTGACAAATTCTGGTTCATGCTTCGGTGAAAGTTCATACTGCGTTTCGCGCCTCGATGGTTTCCAGGTGCACTATTTAATGTATCAATTTTTGTCTCCACGCGTTGTATATATGATGCAATTTCCACTCGAGCCTTAGTGTTAGAACAAATATTGAGGGCTTGATTCGTCAGGAATTTTCTATCGCTGTTCGTCCCGTTCTTGTTGCCAAGATACCAATGAATTTGATACCAATGAAGTTTGAATGAACGATGGGGGTGCCACTTAAATGCGCTCTTCCAGAAAGAGGACGGCCATGCTTGCCAGTTTGATTAATTATAACGTATCTCAACTCTCGCTGATAAATGTAAGAACTAACTACTCACAAATTATACTGTTATACAGTTATCATATTCTCAAATGTGAGTTTGAGTTCTGAAACCGAATCGACGGAAGACAATGTAGGTTCTCAGCGATGCACTCTTATTGTCTCCTAAATGCAGCCATTCAGAAAACATGCCAGTAAAAATTTGATACTTACTGCGACAATGTAAAACTTGAAGCGATATTCTATCAAATTTCCCACATAATCTGGAAACTTCTCAAGGGGAAATTTTCTGTACTCCACGTTGCACGATGTCTTTATTTGATCCGCTTGCTCCTGCGTGAATCCAAGATCATAGACGATGAGTGTTTCGCCCGGAAAATGTGATTGAAAGTTGACGATCGAAGTGATGGTTGGGTCGAAAAAGCCTTTGTCGGCGGCTGTCACAAAAGCTGGTTTCAGATGGTCAAGGTCCTTCGTTTGAACATATTCCATTGGCTCGAAAAGACCGAGATTTTTCAAGTACGGCAGCCAGCGGCAAGAAAACTTTTTACCAATATGGAATGGTTTATGAGGGTGTTGATAGCAAAAGTTGAATGTTTCGCCAGTTAGGTTGTCAACGCAGCCGCAATGCGACTGCCCTTGATCACTGACTAAGTTCAGACCGTTGAAATACCTCTTCGGTTCAGCCAAATCATCGTGGGATGGTGATTCATTGCCGAATACCATGATGACGGTTACCTGCAATAATAAACAGACAATGCTTGCATGTGAGCATTGCTAATCATTACCAAACGAGAATGCATCATAAACAGAAGTGCACATAGAATTACATAATCTTCTACCTCAGGTTCTCGACACGGTAAATGGAGTACCTCAAAGAAAGACAACCACAGA